GTTATATACACTACAATAACAACAACAACACACCAACAAAATAATGTCTTTACTTACTAAACATATGTATGTCTTTACAATCGATGATAAAAAAGACAAACTGCTAATAGGTTTGATAAAAATATATATATTTATTTATTTTTCGGACGAATAGTAAATGACATTTATGCCAACTATTAATGTTTGGCCCAAAAAATAAATAAATAAAATAATTCACAACAATATTTTTGCTATTTATACTAGATTTATGATAACTTTGTGTTTGTGTATTTGTATGTATGTATGTATRTGTATGTATGTATGTATGTATGTATATGTATGTATGTATRTATRTATATATCTATATATGTATGAGTGTGTGTGTATGTGTTTGTGTCCGTTATATATATATATAAGCACCGGGATCATTTAGGTTATATATAATTAAGATTGTCGGCCAAAATAGGAARACTCTCTTCAATTTGGAAAACTATTAAATAAAGTAGTATTTATAATAATTTTCTGTGTAAGATAAAAATATGATATTGATAAATAAGATATATAGACTATATATTGTATTTGATATATATAAAGAAAAATCAAATTTATCATTTACTAAAAATAATTTGTTTTCTTTATTATACTGTACTGTATATATATAATTATATACACAGTATATTTATAAATCTTAATTGAAAACTTGATTGATTTTATTTTGTATATATATATATATATATATATATATATATATATAAACTTGATTGTCTATAATGATAATAATAATTAATATTTTATTGAATTTATTTTTAAATAAAAATAACTATTTATWGTTGAAAATTTACACTAATTTATAATTAAGAATGTTAATGGTTTTATTTCTAATTATAATAATTATATAAAATATATAAATTTATGTTATATTATATAATATACAGTATTTATTAATTGCAATATTTTATGCCATATATTTTTATATTCAAAAAAACGTTTTGATGTTATATTTATAAATAAAAAGATAAATAATTATATTTCCGTTTGTCATAGACTATCATCATCTACTSTATTATCTATAAATATACAGTATATTATAAATATTATAAAAATTTATATATTTATTGCTTATATTTTATTTGTTAATATATTTTATTGTTATTCATATAATATATATATACTATATATTTATTCATATATCATATTATATATTCACTTTTCAAAATATACTGTAGTGTAATATTATATGATTATAGATTTTATTGTACTGTACACCACATTTAATAGCATATTAAATTTGATAGGCATAAAAAATCTAAGATATTTACAAATAACATATTCATAAATCAGAAAACAAATAAAGTTATTAGAATTATATCTAATAAATTTTATTTTTTAATATAAAAATATATCAATAATAATAAAAATGTATAAAACTATATATTAATAAAATTGTAATATAAATTTTAGATATATTAATCTAAAAAAATGACAATTATTTTTTAAATATTGATAAATGTTTAATAATTTTTAAATAAAGTAATAGATTTTTATTTTTCTATATAAAAATTTGTATGGTTTTTATAATAGAAGATAATATAGTATTACTGTTAATACTATAGTAAAATATTTTTTATCTATTATTTACTATTATTGGCATAAAACGTGAGTGCCAATTTTATGGGATAAATCAAAAATAATATATATATATATATATACTTTATATAACTATATTATAGTCGAAATTCAATACTTATATAAAAGACACTATTATTTAATATTTTGTCTGCCATTTGATTTATATATTATAGATATATATACGATAACATAGTTTCAACCGTATTTTTTCTTTAATAATAATAATAATAATAATAACAACAACACATTATTGTATACTTTTTGTGTACAGAATATTTATAGTTATAAATAAATAGATATTTCTAAAGAATATTCTTTTAGTTATTATTATTTTCATATTATATTTTATTGATACATACATCATATTATTTATTATAAATCACTTTTTGATAATATACAATATGTTTGATAAATAATGTAATGGCATTGGAAATACAGTGAAAGTAACCAACAACAACAAAAAATAAATAAAAATATTTTTACTAAATTATGTACAAATATAAAAGATTAGTGTTTTATACATATTTTAAAAAGATTTTATTAGACTAAATAAAAAAAGTAAATACTGAATTTAATAATAATAAAATATTATTTTTATAAAATATTTTTTTATCATATAATAGATGAAATACTGTACTATAAGTTAGGCAACATTAATTAAACGTAAATAACATAATAAAACATAAAATTTCCATAATATTAACTATTGAAATAAATTCTAATAATTTATTAGAATATAATAATATTTATATATATCAAAAAATAACTCAAATAAAAAATAGGGTAAACAAATTTTATTATACATATTAAGTATTATTTATACTAATAATAATTTCTAACTTTTATAATTTATTTTATGAAAATACTCTATTATTGTATAAAAGAGTTYATAATAATTAATAAACTTGTTGTCAAAAGTTAAATTGAAATTATCAACAAATAAATTATAATTTTAATGATAAGATTAGAATTATTTTGATAACTTAATTCAATTATTATTTATTAATTTAAATCTATATATATTTTACGAGAATTTTAGTACTCGAGTGAATGACGATTGTATTGATAACAATGTTATCAACTAAACCTTAATTAAAATCTACTTATTTATACAAATATTATTTTTGTTAGAAAATCATAAGCTGTTTCTATATATATATATATTAATAAAATTRTATGAATATATAGAATGGAAAATATTATATATAATATTAATATTAATTGGAAACTTTATTTATCGTAAAATAGATTACAATCTAAATTAATTTTAGATATAAAAATAATAATTTATGTTTTTATTAATAACTTATCAGTAATAATCTTATTGTCCGATTTTAACAAAATGTAAATTTATATATATATATATATAATTACTACATATTATTAACAGTTAAGTATATACCTGTAGTTAAAATTATAAATTATTTAGAGGATAATTAAAAAGATTAGCTAATTATAGCAATACAAATTCAGTAATGATAACAATGCTTTAAAAGTTATGAAAGTTATTGATACTAACAAAATAAAATACAAAATACATTMTTATATTTTATYAATAAATATTGAATTTTAATTTGAAATTATATAAGAATTACTATCTTATAKCTGCCTGGATAGCTCAGTCGGTAGAGCATTAGGCTTTTAACCTAAGGGTCCAGGGTTCGAGCCCCTGTTCAGGCGTATATCTTTTGTTATATTAGTTTTTAATTTTACAATAAATGTTTTTATAAAAAATTATAAAAGTTTATCGCCTGAACAGGGGCTCGAACCCTGGACCCTTAGGTTAAAAGCCTAATGCTCTACCGACTGAGCTATCCAGGCACTCATGAAAACATACTTGCTCATATAATTTCACACTAAAATTAAATATCATTATTAATAGATAAGATATAATAAATAATATTGATTCAATATATTTTATACTAAAAATTTTGCAATTATGTTTGTTTTTATTATTTATCTTATATTGTCTAAYATTTCAAGTTTAATAGTTTTCAAGTATTTTATTAATTACTATATAATAGTATAATACTAAATAACTTAAATATAACATTGATATGTTATATTTTAGTATTTTGAATTAATTGTTATTAGTTTTTTTAGTTATAATTAAATATAAATCAAACAAGTTTTAAATAGCAACAACATATTTAAGTATGTCTCAATTACTTAGCGATAAAATTATTTTTTAAATTATTATTTACAAAATTATAAATATTTTTATAAGTTAACTTATAAATTCAATTGTTCAATAATAATAAATAATAATATCTTCAATTGTTGTAAATAATGATAATTGTAGTCAACTATTATACATAATTGCATTCTTTAATTATCTTATTAAATATACATTCAATCTGAAAGTAATTAATTACTTTACTATATTATTCACTTTAATTTATTATAAYTATTAGTTTATTAAAATCTATAATATTAATTAAATCAAAAGCGTTTTTTGCTATTTAAATCTATTTTTACATATTAATTGATCATAAAATTTATATGCTAGTATAAAAACTAGTAATAATAAATATTAAACATTAGATTAATAAATAAATTATGTTATATGGTATACTAAAAAAACAATAATAATTTTAGTTATTAGACTAATGTATAATAAATTATTTTTATTCAAAAACAATAACCTATAAATATTATTATTAAAACTAAATGCACAATATTATAGCAAATAAATAATTGAAAAAAATATTGCTAGATCTTTATGAATACAAAATTAATAATAATATTATATTTATATATTGTAAGTATTATTTGAAACTAACATCTGTTATACAGTAATTAAAAGTTTATTAAATACAGTATTAATACAGAAAAGTTTTAATTGGTTTATGGTTTAACACAAATAGTATATAATATATATATTAATATATCATAGTATTTGCCATCAAATAATAAATACTATTCAATTAAATTGAATAATATTATTGTCATTATTATAATGATTACTATATTTATTAATAATATACACATCTATTATTTAGTATTATTATTATTATTATTATTATTATTATTATTATTATTATTATTATTATTATTATTATTATTATTATTATTATTATTATTATTATTATTATTATTATTATTATTATTATTATTATTATTATTATTATTATTATTATTATTATTATTATTATTATTATTATTATTATTATTATTATTATTATTATTATTATTATTATTATTATTATTATTATTATTATTATTATTATTATTATTATTATTATTATTATTATTATTATTATTATTATTATTATTATTATTATTATTATTATTATTATTATTATTATTATTATCTTTGTATATCACGGTTGTTCCGGTGTGATCACAGTTGTGTCGGCCACTTTTGGTGGCAGAGACACGACTGGTTAGACTCAACTCAAGTCTAGTACTTTTCTGACTGTTCTACAACTCTGAAGTATCACTGCTTTTTGCATTTCATAGATCTTAGTTTTTCTGATTTCCAGTGATTCCAAACTTAGGGCCAGATTTTTCGGTATTACGGCCATTGATGACAGGATTATAGGTATGATTTCAACTTTCTTAATGCGCCACATTTTATTGATCTCATAGGCCAAGTCTGTATATTTTCGGCGTTTCTCACTATGCGTGTCCTGTAGTTTGTGTGTTAGTGGGACCGCTATGTCTATTATGTACGCCTTATCTTGATGTTTGTCTACTAGTACTATATCTGGGCGGTTGTGGGCCACAGTCTTATCTGTTCTTATTTCTTTATCCCAGTAGAGCTTGGCTCTGTTGCTTTCCATTACACTTTGTGGCTCGTATCTATAGTATGGTAATGGTTCTTTGGTTAGTCCGAATCTTATTGCCAATTCCTGATGTATGATTTTGGCTACTTGGTTGTGACGGCTTAGGTACTCGGTGTTTGTGAGTACTTTACACCCATTTAGTATATGTTCTATTGTTTCGGACTCCATATGACACATCCTGCACTTGTCTGTTGGTATATTTAGCTTTTGGATGTATTTCTGATGGTTTCGTGTCGGAATCACTCGATCTTGTATTGCCATCATGAACCCCTCTGTCTCTCCATGAAGACCGGCGTACTTCAACCATTTTGTAGACATTTCTTCGTCTACGTGTGTTTGGTTGAGTTCTGCTCTGTATCTACCGTGGAGTTCTTTTGAGGCCCACGTGTTAATCCTCTCTTTTTCATTTTGTATTTCTATTTGATGTTCATTATTGCTGAGATTTAGAGGTGTGTAGTTGTTATCAAGTGTTGCTGTTATTTTGTGGAGCTCTGAGACATTGCATTTTTGTTGATGGTATTTTCTCAGCAATTCTCGCTGTTTGGCTTCAAGGCTTACAATGTTTAGTAACCCTCTACCCCCATGCTTTCTACTAACACACAGTCGTGCTACAGAACTTCTAGGGTGGTGTAGTCCAAACATTGTAAGTTGTCGCCTTATATGTCTTTCAATGGTCTCAAGTTCTGTTTTACTCCATTTTATTATTCCGAACGAGTATGTCAGTACAGGTATAGCCCAAGTGTTTATGGCTTTGAATTTGTTGTTTGAGTTTAGTTGAGATTTTAGTATTTTTATTATTCTTTGGTTTAATGTTTTCTTTATTTCTTCTTTAACTTCTGTCATTTTAGATTTATGCATTTGCTTAATTCCTAAATACTTATATATATCTCCATTTTCTAGTGCCTTTATATATCCGTTATCAGTTTCGTATTGATTTCTTTCAGAATAGACTCCTTTTTCAGTTTCATTATAGCACATTTATCTAATCCGAATTCCATATTTATATCATTGGAGAAAGTTTCTGTTGTTTTTAGCATTGCATTTAAATCAGATTCTTTTTCGGCGTATAGTTTTAAGTCGTCCATATATAGTAGATGTGTTAGATTATATTTTGTATCACTTGATTTTAGATTTATGCCTTTTAGCTTTTTAAGTAGTGATGACAGTGGGTTTATGGCTAAGCAGAACCACAGAGGACTGAGTGAATCTCCTTGAAATATTCCTCTATTTATTTTGATTTCTGTACTTATTTTTGTTCCATTATTTGTATTGACACACAATTTAGTATTCCATTTTTTCATCATATTTTCTAATGTGTTTATCAATGTGTTGTCAATTTTATATAGTTTTAACACTCTTAATAACCATTTATGAGGGACTGAATCGAATGCTTTCTTATAGTCTATGTATGCCATTTCAAGATTTCTATGTTTTTGACGAGCTCTTATTGTTATGATATTGTCTATTGTTAATTGCTCTTTACAGCCCATTGAGTGTTTTATACAGCCTTTTTGTTCTTCAGCTATTATGTTGTTGTTACTTAAATGATTATATATTTTTGTTGATATTATGGATGTTAGAATTTTATACATTGTTGTTAGGCAAGTGATTGGTCTATATTTGCTGGGATCTGATGTATTTTCTGTTTTTGGGAGTAGATATGTTATTCCGGAAGTGAGGAAGTCATCGGTTTGTCCTGTTTGTATTATTTTATTCATTGCTATTGCCATTGGTTGATGAACTGTTGTAAAGTGTTTATACCAGAAGTTGTGTATTTTGTCTTGTCCTGGGCTTTTCCAATTGTGGGATTTCTTGAGGGCTTCGGTTAAGTCATCTTTAATTATATTTACTGAAGTCATATGTGGTATTTCTTTATTTTCATCTTCAATATCATTTATCCAATTAGATTCTTTATATTCCTTTGGGTTACTCCAGATTTCTTTCCAGTAGTTTTCTATTTCATCTATTTGTGGTGTATTGTTATTATTGCTTGAATTTATTTTATTTTGATTTCTATAGAACATTTTTTCGTTATTATAGAACATTGTATTTTGTTTTCGTCTTTCGCTTTGTATTTTATATCTTCTAATTCTTTGTGATAGTGCTTGAACTGTTTGTTTTAATGTGTCGTTGTAATTTCGGATTATGGATTCAAATTCAGGTTTTCCAGGTTTTGTCTGTAATGATCGGTATATATCTTTTAATGATTGGTTAAGTCTTTTTGATTTGTTTCCATTTAACACTTGCGTTATTCTTCCAATTATTTTTCTTTTCCCTTCTATCCGTGTCTCTATTCGCTTTTGCCATTTAGGTATTACATTTTCTTGATTTGGTTTTGTTGTAGACATGTGTTCTATTTTGTAGCCTAAGAGTCTTGATACTGCTACTGCTGCACAATACGTTATTGTATTAATTGCGCTCAACGACATATTTTCTTCGATGTAATCTTTAAGTATATCATTTATCGTTATTATAGTAGATCTTGTTTTAATGCCACTTCTTATTTTTGGTAATTTAGGTCTGAATTCTATTTCAAAGTCTTTATATTGTTCTAAAGATGTTTTTAGTTCATTTTCTGCTGTTATTCTGTTTATTTCATCATTTGTATTGTTTATGTTATCTGTTGTTGTAGGTGTCTCTTCTATTTCTGGCACTACTTCTACTGTGGTATTTAATTCAGTTGTTTCATTTAATGATAGTTCATGTGCCACTTGTTGTTTGATTTCTTGTAATTCAATCGGGGATATTTTATTATTCTTTGCTAAGAATCGCCTTTGGTCTGCAATTCTTTGTTCCGTTACATTTAGTTCTGGATATTTTTGTTTGAATGCTAAGTATATTTGGTTTCTGTAATCAGTCATATTTGTTTCGAGTCGAGTTGATCTGTATATTCGCGCATTATCAAGGTATTCATCTCATGTGTCCATCTCATGCGCTTTTGCGATTTGTCAACCAAATTGGTCAGTTGTTGCTGAGAACCAGCTTGAACTGAAACATTTTGGAGGTTAGTCTGATTTTGTTGACTAGTCTGCGGTCGCATTACATCACAGCTTTGCCCGCATAGCACATCACTGCGTGGGATATGATGCATACTTAACGAACTGCAGTCAATGCCTACCTGCTGAACGCGGGATTTATTTGAGAGGGTACCTCCCGAACACCCCCCGTTATTCCTACGACTACGTGTAATCATATTTATATATTTTGTGGCCTTTTTACGGGGTCCCGGTCCCTTATTATTATTATTATTATTATTATTATTATTATTATTATTATTATTATTATTATTATTATAAGAAGTTTAATATTTCGTACGTATAAATCATAAATAAACCATAAGTTTTATTTAAAAGAAAATGTTTTAAACATTAAAATGCTGTCACATTATAAGTATACATATATTTTATATGAATTTATATGAATATATTTGATGTGAATTTTTATGTTTATCAGTTATGATATATATTTAATCTCCAAATTGCTTGATATCAAATCAAAATTCAAATGTCAGTCATATTTTTGTCGTAAAAACTGATAACTTATATATATTTTTGGTTTATTTTATTTTTATAAATGTAAATTTTATGAAATATATAAATAAAATTTATATTTTGATTATATATATATATATATATATATAAATTTAGATAATAAAATTCAATAGATTATTTAAGTTATATTATTTATTTWTATTTTAAATAGTTGAATATTTTTAATACAATGAATTTATGTTATTAACTATAAACAGTATTTTTACTAAAAATATTTTATTATAATTAATAATAATATACATAAATAAGTAATAATAAATAATAATAAATAATTTGCTAGTAGTTCCACAATTTATCAAAATTATAAATATTTTTATTGATTATAATTATAATTTCCTTATTTGTTTGCGCGCTATCTGTATGGCATAAAACCACTATATATTGTATTATTTAGTCGACTAATAATTTTATACAAAAAATTGTTTAACTATAATATATAGTAATAAAACTAAAATTACAACAAAATATTTATATAAGCATACAAAACAAAATAGAAATTATTATTTTTATTATGTATACAATATAAACATTAATTAATTAATGTTTTTTTAAAACTGCTATTATTAAAATGTTAACATAGATAATATTAATACAGAATATAATACAATATTAAATTTYATTATAATATAGACTATTTGTGTATCATAGCAAACTTAATCACACATACAAACAAATTGTTTGATAATTTTTTTCAATATTATTATTATAGCTATTATTCACTGATTAAATAGTCAATTGCACTACTGATAAGTAAACATATTGTAAATACAGTTGAATTTACAGACACAGAGATATCATAAATGTAGTGTAAATGTGTGTGTATTTTAGTTTTATAATTTATTTTTGTAATTATTAATTATTATATTTATTAATAAAAAATAACTTATTTTCTAACAAAATAAAAATGTGTTTCAATTCTATTTAATTAAATAATAAATAAATTACAAATTAATATTATTATTATGTTTATTAAACTATACGTCAATATAAAAATATTTAAAATATTTTGTGTACATTATATTAAAAACAAAATTATTTAATTAGAAAATAAAATAAAATAATTAATTTGTAAATAATTAAAATGGATAACAATTTAGACGTTGACGAGCACTGGGAGTTTGAGGCCATAAACTTGACACTCGATACGGCAGGACTGGGCATCAGTGTTAAGGGTGGTCTCGATTCGCCCGACGTTTACGATAATCCCAGTATATATGTATCGAAAATATTTTCCGACGGCAAGGCCTACAATGATAGTCGGCTACAGATCGGTGATGTCATACTCAGTGTAAACGGCTTTCCRCTCGTAGATGTCATGCACTTTGAAGCGGTCAATGCTATCATATGTGCCGGAACTGACATTACGTTTTATGTGCGGCGAAAAAAGTGTCGCATCTATGACCGCATACCGACACCGCCCCTACAGTCCGAAACACCGATAGCACCAGTTGTGGACAGTCTGATTCAGGTAAAGCTCAACAAAGGTGACAAAGGATTTGGTTTGTGTATTAGTGGCGGACGTAATAATCAGCACATCAAAGGCGATAACGGGATTTTCGTGACCCGAGTGGTCGACAACGGTGTGGCCGAAAGAGATGGCCGTATTTGTGTTGGCGACCAATTGATTGCCATCAATGAGTGCAACTTAGAGGATGTCACGTATGAGGAAGCGGTCAATACTATGCGCAACAGTTCTCGTGTGTCAATCATAACTGTCCTCAAGAAATAGTGACAAATAATTTGCATTTAAATTAATATACTGTTAATCGGTTTGTGTCGGCTATTAGCGAGCGGTTAAACCACACAAAAAATCACAAACCGATACCCATAAAAACCACTTAAGATGCCTAAMTCTAGTKTGTTTGTTTGACCTATTATTTAGTATTCAATCGGATAGATAGACATTATATTATTATCACTTAAAAATTGTATTGTAGTTAACATTAACATATCATAGCAACTACTAAGTTAGTATCTAATCATTAAAAAAAATTATTTAGTGTATTAATAATATTTATTCACATTTTATATTTAAATATATATTTATTTTTTAAAAAATAAATGTTTTTATTTAGTTTATATTTTTTTATAAGTTATAATATTTTATGAATTATTTGTATTGTCTTTTTTAAAAAACACAATTTCATCAAAGAATTGAAACACATTTCTTATATATTATATTTTAATAAAAATAAATATTTTATGATATGATAGTGCAATTACTGTATATGATAATTTTTTAAATATAAAACAATTAGACGTTAATATTATTTATTATTATAACCTATTTATTAAAAAATTAATATAAAGTTAATGTAATTATACCATCATATTTTTGTTGTTAATAATGTCAATTAATTTTGATTTACCGGTATATTTAGCAAATATGTTATTTAATAATTAATTTAATTATAAATAATTTATATATACGAAATATTTTATATTTATTAAATACAAATAATAATAATAATAATAATAATAATAATAATAATAATAATAATAATAATAATAATAATAAGAGGAGGCACAGTGGTGTAGTGGTTAGTGTGTAGGGCTAGTAGAGTAATGGAGAGTAAGATCGTGAGTTCGAATGTGGAAAGCAATTTTTCTGAGAAAAAAAAAATTGTTTTAACTGTGCTTCCCGTCCCTGCCCAACCAACGCTGTTTAGGACGGCCATAAAAGTGAGGACGAGTTTCTGCCCGACCCGGGTATCGGTACTTCGGTATCGGTGCCCACCTGGGGGTATCCGGGGGTGCCTGTAAAAAGGTGCCCCCACCCCGAAGGGACGTCCGCAAGGATGTCCCTTCACCCTTCGAGTAGTTACTCGTCCTCACACGCAATGGCCACTTTTGTTTCAAAAAAATAAAAATAAAAATCCTATTTCAACAAACACATGTTAGTGGTGAGAAATGGGTGGCAATAGACACATGTTAGTGTTGAGCTTTCTCTAGGGACCGGGACCCCGTAAAAAGGCCACAAAATATATAAATATGATTACACGTAGTCGTAGGAATAACGGGGGGTGTTCGGGAGGTAAAATAAATCCCGCGTTCAGCAGGTAGGCATTGACTGCTGTTCGTTAAGTATGCATCATATCCCACGCAGTGATGTGCTATGCGGGCAAAGCTGTGATGTAATGCGACCGCAGACTAGTCAACAAAATCAGACTAACCTCCAAAATGTTTCAGTTCAAGCTGGTTCTCAGCAACAACTGACCAATTTGGTTGACAAATCGCAAAAGCGCATGAGATGGACACATGAGATGAATACCTTGATAATGCGCGAATACTACAGATCAACTCGACTCGAAACAAATATGACTGATTACAGAAACCAAATATACTTAGCATTCAAACAAAAATATCCAGAACTAAATGTAACGGAACAAAGAATTGCAGACCAACGGCGATTCTTAGCAAAGAATAATAAAATATCCCCGATTGAATTACAAGAAATCAAACAACAAGTGGCACATGAACTATCATTAAATGAAACAACTGAATTAAATATAGAAGTAGTGCCAGAAATAGAAGAGACACCTACAACAACAGATAACATAAACAATACAAATGATGAAATAAAAAGAATAACAGCAGAAAATGAACTAAAAACATCTTTAGAACAATATAAAGACTTTGAAATAGAATTCAGACCTAAATTACCAAAAATAAGAAGTGGCATTAAAACAAGATATATAATATATATACTTAAAGATTACATCGAAGAAAATATGTCGTTGAGCGCAATTAATACAATAACGTATTGTGCAGCAGTAGCAGTATCGAGACTCTTAGGCTACAAAATAGAACACATGTCTACAACAAAACCAAATCAAGAAAATGTAATACCTAAATGGCAAAAGCGAATAGATACACGGATAGAAGGGAAAAGAAAAATAATTGGAAGAATAACGCAAGTGTTAAATGGAATCAAATCAAAAAGACTTAACCAATCATTAAAAGATATATACCGATCATTACAGACAAAACCTGGAAAACCTGAATTTGAATCCATAATCCGAAATTACAACGACACATTAAAACAAACAGTTCAAGCACTATCACAAAGAATTAGAAGATATAAAATACAAAGCGAAAGACGAAAACAAAATACAATGTTCTATAATAACGAAAAAATGTTCTATAGAAATCAAAATAAAATAAATTCAAGCAATAATAACAATACACCACAAATAGATGAAATAGAAAACTACTGGAAAGAAATCTGGAGTAACCCAAAGGAATATAAAGAATCTAATTGGATAAATGATATTGAAGATGAAAATAAAAAAATACCACATATGACTTCAGTAAATATAATTAAAGATGACTTAACCGAAGCCCTCAATAAATCCCACAACTGGAAAAGCCCAGGACAAGACAAAATACAAAACTTCTGGTATAAACACTTTACAACAGTTCATCAACCAATGGCAATAGCAATGAATAAAATAATACAAACAGGACAAACCGATGACTTCCTCACTTCCGGAATAACATATCTACTCCCAAAAACAGAAAATACATCAGATCCCAGCAAATATAGACCAATCACTTGCCTAACAACAATGTATAAAATCCTAACATCCATAATATCAACAAAAATATATAATCATTTAAGTAACAACAACATAATAGCTGAAGAACAAAAAGGCTGTATAAAACACTCAATGGGTTGTAAAGAGCAATTAACAATAGACAATATCATAACAATAAGAGCTCGTCAAAAACATAGAAATCTTGAAATGGCATACATAGACTATAAGAAAGCATTCGATTCAGTCCCTCATAAATGGTTATTAAGAGTGTTAAAACTATATAAAATTGACAACACACTGATAAACACATTAGAAAATATGATGAAAAAATGGAATACTAAATTGTGTGTCAATACAAATAATGGAACAAAAATAAGTACAGAAATCAAAATAAATAGAGGAATATTTCAAGGAGATTCACTCAGTCCTCTGTGGTTCTGCTTAGCTATAAACCCACTGTCATCACTACTTAAAAAGCTAAAAGGCGTAAATCTAAAATCAAGTGATACAAAATATAATCTAACACATCTACTATATATGGACGACTTAAAACTATACGCCGAAAAAGAATCTGATTTAAATGCAATGCTAAAAACAACAGAAACTTTCTCCAATGATATAAATATGGAATTCGGATTAGATAAATGTGCTATAATGAAACTGAAAAAAGGAGTCTATTCTGAAAGAAATCAATACGAAACTGATAACGGATATATAAAGGCACTAGAAAATGGAGATATATATAAGTATTTAGGAATTAAGCAAATGCATAAATCTAAAATGACAGAAGTTAAAGAAGAAATAAAGAAAACATTAAACCAAAGAATAATAAAAATACTAAAATCTCAACTAAACTCAAACAACAAATTCAAAGCCATAAACACTTGGGCTATACCTGTACTGACATACTCGTTCGGAATAATAAAATGGAGTAAAACAGAACTTGAGACCATTGAAAGACATATAAGGCGACAACTTACAATGTTTGGACTACACCACCCTAGAAGTTCTGTAGCACGACTGTGTGTTAGTAGAAAGCATGGGGGTAGAGGGTTACTAAACATTGTAAGCCTTGAAGCCAAACAGCGAGAATTGCTGAGAAAATACCATCAACAAAAATGCAATGTCTCAGAGCTCCACAAAATAACATCAACACTTGATTACAACTACACACCTCTAAATCTCAGCAATAATGAACATCAAATAGAAATACAAAATGAAAAAGAAAGGATTAACACATGGGCCTCAAAAGAACTCCACGGTAGATACAGAGCAGAACTCAACCAAACACACGTAGACGAAGAAATGTCTACAAAATGGTTGAAGTACGCCGGTCTTCATGGAGAGACAGAGGGGTTCATGATGGCAATACAAGATCGAGTGATTCCGACACGAAACCATCAGAAATACATCCAAAAGCTAAATATACCAACAGACAAGTGCAGGATGTGTCATATGGAGTCCGAAACAATAGAACATATACTAAACGGGTGTAAAGTACTCACAAACACCGAGTACCTAAGCCGTCACAACCAAGTAGCCAAAATCATACATCAGGAATTGGCAATAAGATTCGGACTAATCAAAGAACCATTACCATACTATAGATACGAGCCACAAAGTGTAATGGAAAGCAACAGAGCCAAGCTCTACTGGGATAAAGAAATAAGAACAGATAAGACTGTGGCCCACAACCGCCCAGATATAGTACTAGTAGACAAACATCAAGATAAGGCATACATAATAGACATAGCGGTCCCACTAACACACAAACTACAGGACACGCATAGTGAGAAACGCCGAAAATATACAGACTTGGCCTATGAGATCAATAAGATGTGGCGCATTAAGAAAGTTGAAATCATACCTATAATCCTGTCATCAATGGCCGTAATACCGAAAAATCTGGCCCTAAGTTTGGAATCACTGGAAATCAGAAAAACTAAGATCTATGAAATGCAAAAAGCAGTGATACTTCAGAGTTGTAGAACAGTCAGAAAAGTACTAGACTTGAGTTGAGTCTAACCAGTCGTGTCTCTGCCACCAAAAGTGGCCGACACAACTGTGATCACACCGGAACAACCGTGATATACAAAAATAATAATAATAATAATAATAATAATAATAATAATAATAATAATAATAATAATAATAATAATAATAATAATAATAATAATAATAATAATAATAATTTTATTTAATATTATTGAAGTTCTATAATAATAGTACATAAAATAAAATATAATGTATTATATATACAGTATTTTAATTATTTATTGTTATATAAATTTATCCTTTTTTTAGATTTCTAAACAATTAGTTTACTTTTGAATAACAATTTGAAAAAATCCATAAATAAATTTAATCAAATCATTGTCATTGTCGGCACTTTTATTTTTGAGTACATTTGCCAATACCTGTGCTTTGATTTTATCATTTTTCAATTGTGTATCCTTTTCGTAGTCAACAATATATTGTTTTCTTATGGTTGTACTTAAAGGTAAAACATCTGCAAATATATATATATAAGAAAATACTATTAAAATATCTATTGTTAATTAATTATTGATAATTATTAACAAAAATAATTATATTATTTTTCAAAATATCATACTTTCTTCAAATGATTTCAACTCATATTCAGCGGATTTCAATAAAAAGTTGTACGAAATGACCGACAAATTACTGCCATTGAATAGTTTGATCCAAATATCTAATTGTTTTTCTTTTGTCGGAATATTCATAAACTCTTTTCGATGAATCACTAACTCTTCATCTGATAAATTAAGATAAAACGGATCAATAATCCAATAGATATTTGCATAGATTTTAGCCGATTTGTTGAGCAATCGTTCAATATTTTTGACAGCATTTTCTTTGTTGACAATCCAATGAAAACAATGGTTCGTAAAAATCAACGAAACCTTTGACTCGAGTGACCGAATCTGTGGCGACAACTGATCCCAATCAACACTAATGTCTTGAGACAAATATGTTATGTTTGGTTTTGGATGGTGTTGTCGGGCAAACTCAATCATATCGGTGTCCACATCGACGCCATAGATGTGATCAACAGATAATTTGTCATTTAATGTTTGTGTAATATTTCCAGTGCCGCACCCAATGTCCAAAATTATATCATATTTTCTGAAAAAATAATAATTTCAAAATTTAATTAAATAAAATTCAATTTTTTTCTAATGATAAACATATATTTTTATACATGTTTTTAAATAATAATAAAAAATTATAATAAAATACTTGTCGATGTTTTCATTGTTAATCCTCTTTATTAGATCGTTTGCATCGCGAACTTGCAATTTATTAGATTTGTTATATTTATTAACATTAAACTCCATTATACTAATTAAAAATAGTTTTTAAATTGTATTTTATAAATATCTATTTTAAACTTTTTTTACAAATAACAAAATTTTAATAATTGCTAATTTTTCTAAAATAAATAGACACTTAACTGAATATTATAACTAACTATTTACTACAACAATAATAAACTTTATATATGTATAAGTAATTTTATTTTCAGATTATAATTTTCTACCAAATTATTATTTCAGTAATAGTAATAACAGTGTATAATATTATTATCAATATTATAAATGAAATTAAATATAATTTTAGTAAGACCTTGGACTGTTGGTAAGCAAAACATCAATTTTGTTTTTAATTAAATTAATAMAAATTATATATAATTTTTAGACTATTATTCAACTTTTTTATTTAAAATGTCTAATTAAAGATAAGATACATAAAAAATATTTTGAAAAAACTCTACTTATATAATTTATGTAGATATTAATTTTTTATTAGATTTATTTTTAAAAATAAAAATTATTTTAACATATGTTTATCAATACAAATAAATTACTAAATTTTTATTGAGCTATTTATATTAATTGAAAAGTTCAATGAACCGTTTTGTTATTAATATCAGATATAAAGTTAATATTAATATATATTTACTAAATTTGTATCGTTTGAAAATATAAAATATTTAATTAAAGATATTTTGTTTTATGTTTAAACACAATTTTTTAAAATGTTGATTTAATAGACAACTTATTTGACAAAATAGTATGAAATAAATTATAACTTATAAAAATTTAGTATTTTTATTGATAAAATATTCTTATAATTATTATTTTTAGATTATAATAGTAATTCTATTTAATTAATATTAAAATTATTTATTTCAAATATTTCAATATAAAAAACAATTAAATAAAATAAAAACAATTTTCATTAGTTGATTTAGAATCTAATTTTAGAAATTTATCAATATAATTTATATATTCTATTATTATTTAAATATTTAAATTTAAACAAWTCAAATAAATATTTTAAACATAAAWTTGTTTTATTGTTTTRTCACAATARATAAAAATAACTTTTAAAACAATTGTATTACAAATAATTTATTAATAAAGTGATTAGAAAAATATATTTGTTTTTTTTGAGGAACCAAGTTATGAGTTARCATATCATAACAACTATACAGTATTTTCTAATCATATAATTGTYATAAAAATATTYAAATAATTATTTTAAAAACACAATTTCATTCAAGCATTTAAACATATTTCTTATATTTTATTTTGATTGAATACATTTTAAGAAAAATTAATATTTTATGATAATATGATATGATATTTTGTTTAATATAAAACAATTAAACTCTAATACTATTTTATTTTATAGCATAATTATTAACAAATGTTATTTTAATATTATATAAGTTCTATAATATAAGTACACAAAATATTATATAATGTAAATCAATTATATTTTAAATATTGATCGCTATATATTGTATTATACATATATATATAAWTTATATATCTAAACATTTAATTACTTTTGAACAACAATTTGAAAAAATCCATAAATAAATTCAAACAAATCATTKTCTGGTCTCTTAGATTTCATTACATTTGCCAATATCTGTGCTTTGATTTTAMTATTTTTTTTAATTGTGTATCCCTTCGTAGTTCACAATATATTGTTTTCTCATAGTTGTAAATATAGGTAAAGCGGCTACAAATAAAACAATAATCAATATTAAATATTTAACAATAAAACAGTAAAAATAATAATAATAATTAATTAAAATTTCATACTTTCTTCAAACGATTTCAAATCATATTCATTGGGTGTCAATAAAAAATTGTGCGAAACTACAGATAAATTACTTTTAATGAATAGTTTGATCCAAATATCTAACTGTTTCTCTTTCGGAGGAATATTCAWAAACACTTTTCGGTGAATCGCTAACTCATTATCAGTTAAATTGCTGAACGGATCAGAAATCCAAAAAATATTTGCATATATTTTAGCCGATTTTTGAAGCAATCGTTCAATATTTTTGACACATTWTCTTTGTTGACAATCCAATGAAAACAATAGTTCGTAAAAATCAACGAMACCTTTGACTCGAGTGACCGAATCTGTGGCGACAACTGATCCCAATCAACACTAATGTCTTGAGACAAATATGTTATGTTTGGTTTTGAATCATAGATGCAGAGCATTTGACACGCATTGGCTCATATTAGWRCTAAATATGTAAGGGTCAGTTTATGAATTATTTTGAAAAAATATATTGTTGTGATCTAAGTTTAAAATTATATTTTAAGTGGCATTTATAACATTAAACTATAAAATAGTTTTGTKACCATAACAATATAAATTTTTAAATTAAACTATGATTGGATTATGTCAATTGCTCTCATGACTGTTTTGAATGGTGTTGTCGGGCAAACTCAATCATATCGGTGTCCACATCGAYGCCATAGATGTGATYAACAKATAATTTGTCATTTAATGTTTGTGTRATATTTCCAGAAYCGCATCCAATATCCAYTATTATATCATATTTTCTTAACAAAAAAAATAGAAATAAACACAATTTTTAAAAATTTCTTATATAAAACTATAATATTATTGAATATTATATTGAAATTTTTTTCTAATATTAAGCGCATATTTTTTAATACCTGTATATAAACKATTAAAATATATAAAATATAATATTTTATAAATATTTAATTTTTAAAAAAATATTTGTCTATGTTTTCATTGTTAATCCTATCTATTAGATCGATTGCATCGCGAATTTGAYATTTATTAGATTTGTTATATTTATTAGCATTAAAMTCCATTTAAATATTTTTCAGATTTTTTTAGAAAAAAAAATATTTAAAACTTATTTTACAAATAACAAAATTTTAGTAATTATTGATATTTTTTTAAAAAATGGACAATGAACATAAATAGTTGCTATTTATATACTAAAACATAATAAACTTTATAATTTATGTTATTTTATTTATTTTAATAAATTATTATATAGTAATAAAATTGTATAATTATTAATATTATAATTGACGTCAAATATAATTTGATAAGACCTTGGACTGTTAGTATGTAATAATAACAAATTATTTGATAAAATGAAATAAATTAAATAATTTCTAAAAATTGTATTTATCAGTAATTAGAGTTTTAAACATAGCATTGTTTGGATCAAAAAACAAGTATTTAATGTTTTAGTTATAGGTGGTACACATATTACGTTCGCATTTGAGGTGAGGGGAGTTGCCCAAAGCGAACTTTTGCGGAGGAGGGGAGGGGTATAGACTTTAAGAACGTTCGCATTTAAATAATATTTTATTTCTTGTGGTGGGGGGGGGGTTAGAGGTTAGATAYATGCGAACGTAATTTTTTTTAAATGACTACATGCGAACAATTGCTAACATAGGGGAGGGGGTCTAGATTTCTTAATAAATGCGAACATAATATGTGAAACGTCCCTTATAATAATGAAAATTAATTTTTAAAAATTTAATAATGATTTCAATTTACTTTATGTTTTTGTTGTCTAAGCAGTACTATTGTTTTACGACACTATTGACAACAAACTGCGGTAAAATTAATACTTTTATAAAGTTATTTTGTCCTCAATTGTTAGGCGCGAAAACTCGTCAGACGTTACCGCGGGTTAGGGATAATAAACGGACAATACTTATCGATAATTTTTTAAAATTAAGATAAAATRGGTTTCACTATTGCGAACAATATATATATATATATATAGTTATCAGCAATTAATATGATATACAGACTAATAGCTAATAGCAATGAATATTATGGTTATTGTATGACTCATACAACAGGACTAATATTTTTCAGTGATTAAAATATTTAATATATTATAACTTAAACAAACTAAATGGTAATTTATGTAAATATTTAATGTATGTAATATATAATAAATATGGACTAAACAGCCTAAGCAATAAAATATGATTTTAAAGTTTATTTATGGCAATGCTATCTAGCATTCTCAACTGGTTTAATTTTGATAATCAAGTTATGGAAATTATATAAAAATTACTTTAAACATATCTATAATAATATTTACAGAATTATTTCAATATTTATATTAAATAATTATATAAATTACGGTTATTGCTCTGATATTGTATTATTTAAATAATTTTAATATTAAAACATAAAATATATTTACAATACATTTCTTGCAAAAAATATATTTATAATATTTTTAGAAAATATTTTGATATATAATACTAATAATCAAGTTATTTATATACAATAAATTTATTTTTTTAAATACTTAAATATTTATTTTACAAAACTATTAAATAACACTTTTTATTAACAATTAAACGTTTATTATATTATTATATAATATTTATTTTTATTAAATCACGTATAAAATATTTCTTTATAAAATTATTAAATTTAATACAATATATACATTATAGGTATTTTCATAATAATTAATTAGATAAATAAAAAATATTCTACTAATTAATAATAATTATTTTTTTTATTTAAGAGTTGGTTTATTTWATCTAACATTATTGTACATAAACTATAATATAAATMAAAAATATTATATTTATTTATATGTAATCTAACTATATTTTATTAAAAGATTTCAATTACTTTTGAACAACAAATTGAAAATATCCGTAAATATGTTGAATCATATCGTTGTCGGGACTCTTAGTTTTCATTATATTTGCCAATATCTGTGCTTTSATTTTATCATTTTTCAATTGTCTGTCAATTTTACAATCGACTAAATATTGTTTTCTTACATTTAATTTTAATGGTATCATTACTGTAAATATAGAAATAACAACAACAAAATCAATAGTAAATAGTTAGCAATAGTAAATAGTTTGTGTTTTATGACAATAACAACAACAAAAATTAATAATAAATATCATTATTAAACAAAATATCATACTTTCTTCATATAATTTTAAAATCATTTCAAATGATTTTGTTAGAAAGTTATGCGAAACAACCGTCAAATTAYTGTCATTGAAATGTTTGATCCAAATATCTAACTGTTCCTCTTTTGTTGGAATATTCATAAACTCTTTTCGGTGAATAACCAACTGTTCATCAGTTAGATTGTCAAACGGCTCATGAATCCAATAGATAT